ATTGACATAGTATTGACAAAAAGTTATTATGTATTTTAAAATTGTACTCATTTGAATGAAATAGACTTATAATGACTATCGAATGAAAGGTAACATTCAAATGTATTATTTTATTTTAAAAGTATATAAGCATATATTTATGACATTTTTAACATATATTTTCCATAATTTTACTTCATTGTAATAAATGCAATATTTAAGAATTTCTTTTGTTTTATTTCTTACTTTCAGTACATACTAACTGACCCAGCAAACGTTGTTTTGCCATATAAAATATTTGTAGGGTAGAAAAAACTGTTGTGGTGGACTCTTAACATTTAGGGGGATGAAAAATATGTTGTCTGATTCTCCACCTTGGCCAATATGCACACAAAATTTCACGAAAATCGGTCAAGCCGTTTCGATGGAGTTCAATTACAAACACCGTGACACGAGGATTTTATATATTAGATTAAGTTCAGTCGATGAAAATGCCTCGTCGCATTGGCCAAGTTTGTTGGTTGTTTGTTAAAGCATTGTACGCCAGCGAATTGGTAAACCATAACCAAACAGTAGTATTATTTCATGTCCATTAGATATCCACTAAAATTACAAAGTTTGGTTATAACTTTGGGATCTCAAATTCTAGCAGTGGAGACTGTTTCGATACATTTACAACTTTGTCCTAATTTTAAATTGCAAGAAATTTTTGTTGTGATTTTTTTTAACAAACAAATATCGTTTCTCTCTTTAAATCCAATGACATGTGAATATTTTTGGAGACGGAATGTTTTTGGCACTCACTGTATGTATGTAATTAGTCTTACGAGCAAACAAGGTTGATTGATTGTAACGAATAATATAACATACCTTCGTGCGAATTATGAATTAGGTGGGCAAGTGTGTCCTGTTTGGCACAGTCCATAACCACCTGAGTGCTACAAAGTGTATTTTATTGCCTCCGACAACAATACAATACCGACAATAACAACAATATACTGAACGGTATGCATATTAGTTTAGGATTAATTATGTAATAAGTTACTTTAAAATGAAGAAAAACTTATCCTATATGGTTCGTTTGAGAAAACTCACTGACAGATGGCGCTGTACGGAGGTAAAACACGGTAATATTTGCTGGCTCGCTAGTCATAAAGGGATCGAAGTTCACTTCGTTTCATATTTCCACTGCCCCGTTCACTCTTTTTATGTGGATTATTTTTGGCGTGTGTCTCGTTTGTTTGTCAAACGACACTCATGTAACCCGCTACAGAGCCACCACACTCTCAGTCTCAAATGGTTTGCTTTAAATATAATATATACATGGTAGTAATTATTCCATCTGCTGTCTATTTGCAATGGATTAACCTGGCACGATCACGTAAAAAGAACTGGAAAAGAACTTTTCCAGTCCCATCTCGCTTAGAAATCAAATTGCAGAATTCCTGTTTCTCTGTTGACATAAAATGTTTTTTCTTTAAGTGAGATCATAAATATCTACATAAGTTACGATAGAGTAGTTTCATGATAATCTAAATAAGTCATTAACAATTTCATTCAAAGAAATCGGCTACAATTTAATGCCCGTAGTTTAACGTTATATAAACATCTGGTTGTAATAAATCGATTTAAGGTGTAGCGTTGCATTAAATGCCATTTTGAATTAGATTTACTAACCCTGATTTACGCGCAATTTATATTGATTTTCAAGGTTTGTTGTTTCGAGATTAATGCAAGCGTGGCAGCATCGAGTACATGAAATTACGCAAACGTGGTTACGCTGGTCGAATGTTTATATGCTTCAATCGGAGATTCCTTATTATCCAGAATATATGTCTTCTATGAAACTGAAATGGAGGGATTCGGTATTAAAAGTAGCTTTACGATCGAAACCTAATCACATATAACAACGAAACATAAGCATATCGCCAGTACCTTCACTGAATGTGGCTGTTAGATAAATAAGTACTAGTTACATGGATTTCAGGTGCACGCAGCTTGTGGCCAGATATTCGTTTGCATCTATTCTTGCTATCTCTACTGGCTAAGATATTTCAATTTCCCAATTCGCGTACAAAAAATATCAAAACTGGTTGTAAACGACCTCTACGAGGCCGTTATAAATTCCCCGACGTAGCTAAATGGCAAATTTATGCAGCAGTAGAAAGTGTTTACTAAAATCACTATAAAAATGAAAAAAGATCCACTATTCCACAAAAGTATTTAATTAATTGTTTATTTCATCATATCCCAGTTGCCAGTGATGACCTACGGAACCGAGACGTGGTCCTTCACTGCTGGCCGTATGGGGAAGCTTAAAGTCGCTCAGCGACCTATGGAGCGGGGTATTTCTCTGCGTGATAAAGTTCGTAACGAAGACATCCGCATTAGAACCAAGGTAACCGACAGAGCTCAGAGGATTAGCAAGCTGAAGTGGCGACGGGCGGGCCATATAGCTCGTAGAACACATAACCGTTGGGGAAGAAATGTTCTCGTTTTCTCTGGCAGCGTCGTACTGGCTATCGCAGTGTAGGACGACCCCCCACTAGATGGAGTTACGACCTGTGCAAATGTGCGGGAAGTCTATGGATGCAGGTGGCTCAGGATCGTACTTCGTAGCAGTCTATGGGGGAGGCCTATGTTCAGCACTGGACTCAAACAGGCTGAAATTATGATGATGATGATCATCTTTATGTATGTAGGTACATACGTTTATGCATGTGTGTACAGTTAGTTATGTATAATTTTGGCACGCTCTACTGCCTTAATATTTTTACAGGTTTCAACATATCACTCATCATGATGTGAGACCGTCATTAGATTCGTCTCAGTCGTCAGATATAGTCAGCATATTTTCCAATAAAGTAACCGTTAAGAAAAAAGAAAGAAACTAGAGAATAATTAATATTTAATGCATGTTCATCATGACGTATCAACTGACGTATGTAGCGTACAAAATATATGCATATTGTTAACTAACAGAAGGCCTTCTCAGTAATCAATTGTTACAATTATGCATGAATAATTCTTTGGATCTTAAAATAGATTTTTCTTTTCTTAATCAACTTTCAATTCAAATTAAATTTATTTTATTTATTTATTTCTTAATATATACTTCTCCATATTGCTATTAATCATCAAAAAAGATTTAGTTCATTAATATGATATAAATCATCTGTAGTTTCACTTTATTCATTTTTCTGTGGAGGATATACTTTATGTTTCCCTCAATTAAACTCAATCCCGTAGATTTCAGGAATTATTCTGGACAGAAGATTAAAGTAGAAAAACCTTTGACGGTTTTGCCAACTCATATTTATTTCATATCATATATTTATGAGATACACAGATAACTTAAATATTAATATTTATTGATACTGAATTCAAATACTTAAGAAAAAAATCGATCTAATAAATACATTTAACTTACTTCAAATATAAAAAGCTGTTAATATATTTACAGAATAATTATAAAACGACTCTTATTCATAAAATATTTTACCTAGTTTTAAACATACCTGCTATACAATTTATTAAAATTATAATAAATGAATAAAAAGTTTTTAAATAATGGAATAAAAATAATATAATATTGATAAATGTATATTTGTATTATACATATACCTAAACAAGGACTTATTAGTTCATAGCCTCTTATTTTATATACAGTAAGTTCGAGTGTAATTGAAAACAGTGGTAAAAACAGGTTTCCATTTTACAAATATTTACTTATAATGTTTTTCCCATTTTAGGGTCATGCGTACGAGGATACACTTTTTGTTAGAAAATTATATTTACATAGTTGGAATAAATAAGCAAGCGGTTCACCCGACGAAAATCATCATAAGAGACCCCACAATCCATTATAGGGGTATGAATACACACACAATACACAACTCACCCGGAAAAACGCGAATATAGGTATAGTGGGAGTGAGCGAATATTTACTTAATAGTTACATATACAGCGTGTCGTTACCAACGCGACAATAAATGAACACACATATAGAGGATAACTTTTTAAAGTTGTATTAAACATTTAAATTCTTTAAACATCAATATTTACAGAGTTATTAAATTTTCAAAAACAAAGAATTTTAGAACACCCTTACCTATAAAAGGGTAACGTAAAGTTCATTTGTAAAGGTCACAAAGCATATGAATGGGTTGAAAGAATTTAAAAGAGATAAAACATACTGTTAGAAAGAGAGGCTTGTAATGCGACGCAGTGACGCGAGTTGTATAGGATGTTACAAATTTTGTTTCTTTTTTATTTAATTAGTTTGTTTGAAAAATATTTTTTTTTAATTATTGATTTTGTTTAACGTTAATATTTTTTTATGATTATTGGCAAGTAGCGTTAGGCGTGTGTTCCTTTATTGTCGCGATGGTAACGACACGCTGTATATGTAAACATATCACCTAGTCGATATTTTCTTCTAATGAGTCTAAATTTATTAGTTTCTTGTGCAAATGTAAGTTATTACAGCACGAATTCAAATTTCATTAAAGAAAGTTTAAAAATAAGATTAAAACAAATAATTTTCAACAATAAAACGAAAGTGACGAGGATAGTATATGCTGTAGTTGGCTGATATTTGTTATAACAACAGACAATTTACTTTCCGAAACACCAGATCTATACCATTGAACAAATGTTTAATGCTTCTAATCACTTAAAACCGAGCAAAGGCCTACATGAATTCGATACAAAAAAAAAAGTATTTAAATATAAATTGACATAAATTGCTAATGCTAGGGAAGGAAAATCACTAGTATTGCGCATACAATTATTAATTCGGTAAAATTAAAACAGACGTAATTAGTAAAATATTTTCAGCTATGTCATATACTGCAATTTACAATTAATAACATTTTACATAACACTTACACTTACTACATAAATTCATAAAATATAGCATGATTGAGTAATACAAATTAATGTCTTTTCTTGTCGATGACATACCACAAAAGTCTCGAAGTAAAGTTTTATTTGAATAGTCAATTGTCTAAAACAGTTTATCTGTTAATAGATTTTTCGTTTATGTCACACGTGAGGAAATCATTTGGTTCCCTTATGGTCATTATTGTGACTCCGTCTGCGCTGTTTCTTGATATTATGTTGTTCTTCTTCTTTGTGCTTCCATAATCGTAGTTTGATATCACAACGCTCTCTGTGGGATTTCTGAAACATGTTCAGGAGGAACATACGGGACCGATACTTAAAAAAATCGTATTGACAGGATATAAAAGCACATTAATTTGTAAATGTGACAATAGCACAATACTATATGAGATCGTCTATCTAAACGCTCCCAGTGTACTATTGTGTTATTGTTGTGCAAACAATAGATCTCGTCCATCTAACAAAATCATAATAGGAGCGTTTAAATTGTCAATTCGTGGCAACGTTTAGGCAATATGATTCTAGATGAAATGTAATGAAATGTGTTACATAGGTAACGTTCATATGCTATTAAATAATTTTAAGATACATCTAGCTTTTAATAATAATAATATAATAATAATAATCTTTATTTCAGACAATACACAAAATTAAGTACATTGTCCATAGTTTTTTAGTATTTGTTAATAACATTGTGACTTAAATCTAGGTTAGTAAGTAATCTAGGAATACTAAAAAAAAGGAATAATAAAGAGTAAAAGGGAATAACAAGCGTTACCTGTTGCATCTATGTCTATGAGTGCTCCTAAACGACGTTTCACATATAGCTGTTCTTGATAGTCGCGAACTGCAAGTAGGATGTAAAGTTCCACGTCGACAGCATAAGTACCGATTAAAGTGTTGCCTGAATACACCGCTGACGCAATACAGGGCAACAGGATTGACGCACGAGTTCAGGAAACTGTTAACAAAATTATGGAGTTGTTTTAAGACAAATTGATGCTTGGAATTATTCTCTACTTCCTTCTTAATAGAGTACCAACTAATACAGTACAAAATAAAAAGAGCAAACTTAATTTTAGAATTTATAAAAAACTATTTGTTAAACTGAACGCTAAGAAGTTAGATTGTTTAATTTGAAATTGTTGGGATTTTTGGATTATTTACAGCTAGTATCAACGGGCAAAGGAATTAGTCGGTTGCTACTCCGTTATTCATTAAATGCGACAGCGTTAATCAGGCGTATCTCTTAACCTTTTCGCTGACTAAACTGGAGCAATTCCAAATCAAACAATTAACAATGGTTTAGTATCAGCTTCAAGCAATAAAAACGAACGAGAGCCGAAGCTTTTTTATATGTTTTGTTTTTATGTGAGAAGGTGGGTCATGAGTTTATAAAAATTGATAACGGCTGAGTCACCATAAAAGACAACTCCCTAAATGTACCCAAAAATTACAACAATTTATAAATAAAGTCTTCCATAAATACGCTCGCTCACCTCAAACAGAATCCTATTATCCTCAACGCGTGCGTCCAATCATTGTAGTCGGTTTGAGCGGTTGGCGATAAATGGAACCACAGCTCAAAAGCGTGATAAGGCAAGAAGCAAACGAAAAACACTGAAATGTAAATGCATTAATTAATATAAACATATGACTACAGATAATAATAATGATTATTTCAAAATTAATTACTTTAGTAATTCTTAGTTAATTAGTTTAGTAATTCTTGAATTCTAAAGTTCTTATTACAGCATACAGCATGTCGTTACCATCGCGACAATAAATGAACACACATATAGAGGATAACTTTTAAAAATTGTTTTAAACATTTACATTATTTAAACCTCAATATTTACCGAGTTATTAAATTTACCAAAACAAAGAATTTTAGAACACACCTTACGTATAAAACTGTAACGTTCATTTGTAAAGGTCACAAAGCTTATATATAAAGGGTTGAATGAATTTAAAAGAGACAAAACATACTGTTAGAAGGAGAGGCTTGTAATGCGACGATGTGGCGCGAGTTGTATATGATGTTACAAATTTTGTTTCTTTTTTTCCTTAATTAGTTTGTTTGAAAAATATTTTTTTTTAATTATGGATTTTATTTAACGTTAATATTTTTTTATGATTATTGGTAAGTAGTGTTAGACGTGTGTTCATTTATTGTCGCGATGGTAACGACACCCTGTATATATGAACGATATTATAGTACAAACAGTGAGCTTTGGAATGGGCTATGCTTGATATTTCTCTGTGTAATAGAGTTCTCTCAATGAGGAAATACACAGGAGGACAAAAGTAACCGACATATGATGAGGAACGGTGCTCGAGCGGCAGTCTCGTATTGGCCTTCGTAGTATGCGATGACCCATTGGATGGAGTGATTAGGTACGTGCGATGGAGCCACCTGCATTCATCGACATACCGCACATTTGCTGCAAAGTCGATGGATGCAGGTTACTTAGGATTGTGCATCGTGGCAGTCTGTGGGGGAGGCTTAAGTCATAGGTGATGTAAATGGTGACGACGATGATCATACAATAAATTATAAGGGCAAATCTTTCTTGCGATTTAATGAATGTGTGATATTTTCAACAATCCCCCAAAAAAGAAGATACATTCTTCTCTAAACAATTTTTATAGTTTAACGTGACTCCAATCCGTGCTCACCGATAACAAAAATTAAAACCATCAGAGCAACCGACTTTCTGGCTTTGGCCTGGGCCTCCCCCTGGCCACCGTGCAATGCGCCGGGCATTTCCCTGGTGCTCGCAAGTAGACGCTGCGCCATAAGCGAATAGAAGATCGCAATAACCAGCAACGGTAAACAATAGTATATTATCGCTTTCGCCAAAGTCATCCATCTGAAAACAAAGTGATCTATAAAAAATATAATAAGTAAATAGTACTTTTATTATTGTGATGTGTAATTATTCGTATGAAAACAAAAACATATATACATCGGGTAGCCTGTATGGTCGTTTGAATTGTGTTAAGTAAATGAAGTTACATTGTGTTAATTATTTAAATAACGTTCCTACATAAACATTCAAGTGTCAATGTACGAATTTGTTCTATAAACAATTTGAACGACTTTGATATCTTTTATTTTGATGACAGGATTTTTAACTTGACATACGATAAATATCGAAAAACTTAAAGAAAGTCAAAGATCTTAATTTTTTTTTATATAGGAATTATAGTAACTATGATGTTTTTGTAAGGCTGTACCCTAAGACTTCTATTAGTGAGTACTAAATATAGCTTTTTATTTTAAGCTTTCGTTATCAATTGGGACCCCAGTTCAGCTTTAACGACTTATAAGTAGACTTAACTATTAAGTCTTTAAGGCTGAACTTTGCTAATTAATGAATTTAATGTTAGTTAAGTGCTGGTTGGGGACCATGAGAGCACCAAGGCAGATTACACGAGCTTACTTGGGATAATGCTTCCAACCCTCTGGGTAGGGGGTACAGTACACAATAGTAATGTTATTGTGCAGATGTGCAGTTACAGTATTTGAGAATACAGCGGCTGGTGTAGCGAAGATAAGCGCCGCTGCCCAAATAAACGTTGCACATACGAGTGGGAGCTTCCTCAGCTGAAACAATTTAGCGGTGCTATTATTTACGTTAGATTAGTAAGCTACTTTAAAATGAACTGGCTAGGCGGTCGTGACTAATACGGAAAGATAAATTTCTATTATGTTATATGTTTTATATAAGTGCATGATTTTATAAATGTTCCGCGCAGGCTACTTTCTTCTGTATCATTTCAAGTGTCTTGTATTATCTTGCTTATGCGGTACGAACCGTTGGAGAATTAGACTACTTAATGATAAAACTTTCGTAGTAAATAGACACAAACATTACGTGTACGTTACCACTGCTATCTCGGGATGAAGAGTTATAATAAATTACAAATAATTAGGTGCTACCGAAAGCTTTCAAAGACATATATTCCTAAAAAGTTTTAATTACAATTAAATTATATGAAATAACAAAGAAACTCCGTTAAAAAATACAGAAAAAAACCACTGCAAGAAACTTGCCGACTGGCTGTATCCAATTAGCGAACGTCAATATACTAAAACCTAAGCTGCATAAAAATTAAAGTTACTTGGGAAAGTATGCAACTTTTTTGTCGCGGACTAATATTTCAATTGAATAATCTATAATATCCACGAGCGCAACAAAAAATAAGAAAAGAAATAGTTGAATCTCAAAGCCTTCGTCGCAATTTTCTTGGATCATAATTATTATTTTATGAATGTTGACATTTCTAGCTTAAAATTTAAATTGCTTACGTAAGATATTTAAGCGATTTTGATTTACCTACTAGATAATATTTCTGCTAATACTAATTATTATTATTAGTAGAAATAAGCACGTAAATAATCTAGGCATGCACAAATTTCCTAAGGTGATATATTGGGTCCTTTTCGTATTAACCCACCAACATTACAAGACATGGTGAGCCTGTTTCCATATAAGTATAAATAATACGAGTTAAATATCATTTCTAATTAAATTGGACTTGAAAAAACAACTCCTTATCTACAATTATCGTTTTCACATGCGTCTAATTCTATGAAATTCATCTAATATTATATTTTATGATACCTATTCCATGAACGTATATACAAAACCGGCAAAAATAAGCGCTACTTTCAATGTTATTATTGACTGCAACAACAGATACGGTATACATCCTATCTCCTCCTATCCACGTACACGCGGTCGATAGCGCCTGCGAATATTATGTCCGCAAAACAACGCTCAATCGTGCCTTGAATGTAAAAAAATTCTAAAAACTTATATTTACTAATGTAAATAATTTTGGAATGTTCTATTGAAATCTTAAATATATATTTATAGTAAAGTTCTGTTTATAGTTTTGAGTAAAACAAGTTGTTTTACATGAAACATTCAAGTTTTTTTGTATGTGAAATGTTAGCAAGCGAGCAGGCGCTTCACATATGTCATATGATTACCGCCACCCATGGACTTCTACAACACTTAATGCGTAGCAAATGCGTTGCCAAACATTAAAAAATAGCGCCCAGTTACCTCGCTAACAGACCAAACGCGAAAGTATAATAATTCCACGTCACGCCGGTCTTCTATCAGGCTGTGGTACTTCCCCGGATGAGTCTGCTCATTCTTGCAACAACTGTTGGCTGTACTGAGGCACAACCACAGCACATTTTATATTGTGGCACATTTAATATTAGTATCGCATAAGCTATTATATGTTTTTATTTCTTTATGGAACAGTTTGATAGCTGATCCATATATAAATAAAAACATTTAGCTATGTTTACGATATCATCAATATAGCTAAAATTTCTGTCATTAAATGAGAGCTTAGAGCTAAGATATTCACTCGCGATGTGTAGTCCCGGGATTGATTGATCTTGAAAAATAGAATGAAGTTTTTAGTTTTCGTTTCTTACCGGCTTAGTCTTATATTTGGGTCTGTTATCTTGCGAATCACAACATCATATAACGTAATTCACTCGTTTAAAAGTTAACAGTGCTAGTTAATTTTTCTTCAAAACAAAATGTTTCAAAGTGTGTTAATGTACCCTGGCATATGCAATCGTTGTGTAGTAAGTGCGTTTTCAAATTTCAAAAACGTGGTCATCGTTAAGTTTTAATACACAAAAATAATGAATATTTTCGACTTGACGCTAGTTTTCTGAAAGTTAACCGGCTAATTAATGTCATAACAAACGTATTACTTCAAAGTAGGTAATGTAAAGTAACAACCTATATGTATCTTACTGTTAATATGTACATTTATTATAGTAATGTAGCAACAACTTGAAGTAAAATCATGTGAATGTGTAACATTTGACCGCAAAACAAATTCTCTCCCCTCACTGAAGATTTTTCTCACATCATAGGCAATAACAGCATATATTTATAAGATGTATGGATTAGCATGTCCCGCGGCAACTGGTAGAGAATGCCAATTGCCATTACGAATGCCGTTAGTAGGAATTTTAAATTATAGATGTTTGCAATAAAGCATAAATAAATGCATATATTAAGAAATAAAAAGAATAAAATTCATCTTATTCATCATCAATCATTTATATTACTTTACATGATTTATATTCCCTTCGTCAGACAATCATAAAATCAATATGAATTAAAATTGTTAAAACATTATAAAAGTGTATTGGCAACATCATTTAGGAAAGCTTGGATATCACTTCTGCACTACACTGTTTTGTTGACGAAATAGAATATCAATAAATCCTATAGTGACTCTGCGCTTAGAAAGAATAATTAATTACTATTATCGTTGACAGTGGTTAACGAAAGACATTTTTATGTCTGCGAGTTCAAATACGCAATATTGTGATTGGCCATACAACTGTATATGTATAACCATTTCATAATGTATACATTTTTGCCTAATTTTCATCATATTAATATATTTTCTGCCTATAATATACCCACCATACCTTCCGAATCTAATAAGTTTCGTTCCTCTTCCTTAAAACTAGTGTTAAATTTACGGTTTTAACCTAAATAATTTTAGAATTATTTTTTATTTTTAGCGCTAATAAGTTCTTCACCGCTGCTCGAATCGAACCCACGTCTCCTGGATTCGCGCCCATACGCTTTAACCACTAAACTGATTGCCACACCAACGAAAATCTGAACGTCTTTTAACTACATTTTTTATGGCATTTTAAATCATTCATTAATTGCAAATGTCAAGGCAGCCGAGGAAAACTTTTTTTATGTTTGGCAACGACTCTGCAACCCGTCCGGTGTTAATATCCAGGGGCGGTAATCCGTTCATCACGTGAATTACCTTCTTCCTACCAAACTTTTGACATAAAGAATATAAAAAAGCTCTCACTATCTCCCTCTCTTACCTGAAGCTTCCTAAAGGGGTTGACGATCGCGCAATAGCGTTCAGCAGACAACGCGGTCAGCGTGAAAACCGAGACGCCGATGCTAATGTCTTTGCCGGCTTCAGATATTCTGCAAATAGCCTCGCCCCAAGGCCAGGACTCAAGCGTGTAGATAATCGAAACGAATGGCACGCAGATAAGTATGACCAACAGATCAGCTAGGGCCAAAGAAAATATGTACCTGTGAAAAAAAAACCCATTACAAAATAGATATTACATAAACACATTGTATCAGTCTCAATGGAATAAGAATCTTTGAAGATCATCTAAGTGACGAATATTCAATCCTATTTTAATTTGTTTTGTTAATTTTGAAAATCAATATTAAACCAATCTATTAATTCTTTCTATTATTTATTCATTTTTTTTACTTCAAGTACATAGTATATATTTATAATTAGCGGAAACACAAAACGTGAATTGTGCAAAACATAAATCAGTTAATGTAAGTTCTGTAAAAGTCCATGTACGTCGAGTTATATTGTACGTTTGTCCGACAAAGTCTGGCGCTTGTAATGAGGTAGCTCTTGTAATTGCAGAGCTGTGTTTTTGCTGTCTGTTCGCAATTTATCTGACAACGGCAATTTTTCAAGGAATGATCTGACTCTACTCTATGTACAGAATGAATCTTCCAATATATTTTAAAATAGTTCTTTCGTTAATTTATTACGCTGTACCACCATTATTCTAAACCAATTAAATATTTGCAGGACAAAATAATTTCTATTACATTGTCCTCCCCATCTGTTCATTATTATTTTTTTTTATCCTAGTTATATAATAAAATTCGATTAGACCTTCCCTCACTATAAGACCTTTCTTTAAAAATAAGAAATTTTAAATTAAAATTTTAAAAATTTGTTAAGGGAGGCCCTTAGCAAAAAACAAATCTATGCCCGCATGTCATTTACTCCTACTTGATCTCTTGGACAATTCCACGAGTCGTTCAATATATTATATATATATATGAATTGCGAAGATTTAATAAAGGTTTGCTTACGTGTTAGGGGCATTCCGCATTCCTCTATGCCTGATGTAGACAATGACAAGGGTTCCGTTGCCGAGTACGCCCACGATGAAAATTATTGCAAATATAACCGGAACCAAGTACGTCTCGAGCCGGTCTTCGTAAGGCGTGTACTCGCTGTCAGTTGAATTATCTTCGCTCATGAGGGCAGTCGTATTGAATTGTTCCGTTAACATTCTTGAATTCTAAAAAAGGAACAATCCACAGTCAATATTAGAATACACTTTCTTAAGAATAAAACATAAAGATGTAGTTAAAATGAAATATACTTCAAAGGAATTTTATTACATAACTTCTTTTAGGAGATAATAAATATGACAAATTTACGACCGTGCACTGTAATTATTAAATCTACTGATCACTCAAGAGTCAAATTCGTTAATTTGTGCAATCCATTTGACAATTAGTGAAGTCAAGTAAAAGTAGAGTAACATATATATTTCCCTGCTGGGCAAAGGTCTCATCTTAGGGCATTACAACCACCACCCAACCGCAGATATTCAGACTTCACATGTCTTCGAAATATTCTTCTTATAATATTTCTAAAAAAATTAAAGGTTTCCTCACGCTGTTTTCCTTTACCGCTGAACACGTGACAAGTCGGTACTTAAAAATTCAATCATTATGTCGTTGATACCGACACCGGTATTTAAATGTAGGTCAATTGTGATAGGGCCATGTAACAGTTTTCACTGTTGCACGAATGGGCAGGTCCGTCCGGGTAATTACCACGACCTCACAGAAGACTGGCGCAAAGTAGAAGTGTCACACTTCAGTGTTTCTTCTGATGAGTGAGGCAGTCGGGGCTCACTTTATTTAAAGGTGGCAATGCATTTTCAACCCTATGGGTGTTGCAAATCTCCATGGGCGGCGGTTATTACACTTTTTCACATAAAAACAGAATTAAACCTTTGTCAAAAATTGCCCTGATACTGATGAGATATTATGGCTTTTTGACAATCTCAACTTGATATTAATTCATTTAATTATGTCTAAGATGAAGTATCTAAAATCAGTCATATAAACGCATGTTTTCCGGTTAACTTTGATTTGATTGGTAAAAAAACGTATGTTATTTAATTCTTTTATCGCACTATTTAATTGACGAAATATGATATTGCTTTGCGGTTCGTATTTCATGCCAGACATGGTTTACGCCGAATGTGGTTACATCATTGCGAGATGATAAATGCTGCTCGTTAGTGCAACTACGGCTTTTGACAGCAGACAGCAATACGATATAACAGTTTCTAGCAACGTTTATACTAAAATCAGTTATGACATGAACTTATGATTTACAGTTTTTTAAACTACCCTCGCATTAGTACTTTAGAATTTTCTAGATATAGATTACTTACTTAGGTTTAACTTTTATCTCGCAAACACGGATGTTCTACAAATATTATATAAATTACTATTATAGTTACGTCTAGGGATATGCATGTTTTAATATTTAACAACCTGGTTATCCATTGTATTGCAGATCAGTGGGAGTCCCAAAAATACACTATTCTGAGATTTTTGGTCATGTTATGAATTGATTTAAAACAACAAAGAAAGTCTATTACTAAACGGCGCAGAACAGAAAAGCCTCCAACCGAGCGCTGACCGTCGATTTAACCAACAATCTGAATCACTGCGTCAATCAAGGATTCTTTCTGGATGTTTGGCGTGCAATTTGCGTGGTAAAAGCTGGTTCTAGTAACAAAAGCTTATTGCGTTATCTTTTTTTTTAATGTGAAAAGCTGCCAAACGAGCAGACGGTTCACCTGATGTTAAGTAAATACCGCCGCCCATGGATATCTGCTGTTATCTTTTCCTGGGTTTGTTAAAATAGCTTTTGCGCACTGATCAATTATTTTTGTTTTAAATAGATAACTACTAGGCTAGGATAAGTCTGATGGTAACTTGTAAACGCTAATAAATGTGATAATACTCATTATCATATCACTCACACACCTTATGAAACATAAAAGTAAAAATAATTTAACTTATTTTATGAGGCCCTGGTACTTCCCGTCAAGCCGTCAAGCATGGCCTAATCTACCATCAGGATCTGTTATACAAGATGTTTCAAGTAAGTTAGTCAAATATTGGCTTCCAAACCTTATATAGGAACTAACAACTAATTTTCATTATAATCTACTGTTGCCTCTGAAATTTGTGGCAGTAACCTAACACGTGGCTTTGTTGCGAACAGAACACTGATTATTAGGCGCCGTTATCGGAAATTCATCAACGCCTATTAGGGCAACGCAGTCAGGATCAAGGCTTAAATTACAATTTATCTTGTTACAGCACGGAGCGCATGATACAACATCATCCTCAAAATAATCTGGCATGTTTTAACTCTCGCAGGGTAGTGAGAGATATGTCTCATGTGACTTGGGTACTTAGAAATATATTATCCAAAATAAGAAAACTTAATTACTACGTAGCACTGGACTTTCAACTTTGACCGCAAATAAGACGTCAGTCACTATCATGACCTTTCTGCATGTTTTAAACATCGAGGAATCTAATAACTTAGAATCCATCTAACTCGAAGAAAGTGTTCTTTCCACAGGTTTGATATTTGATTTAGGTTAAAGTTACCTCTGGTCTAAGAGCGTACCTTGCGTTAATGCAAGATACAAGTCTCCCTTCTTAATGTATTACCTCGTGTTATTAAACTGAAAAGATATAACTGATAAAATTCGAAACAATAGAAAATCGAAAAAAGGAAGATTTTTACGGTGGTAGGGCCACGCAGCAGCCTCGGCTGGTGCACGAATACGCAAGCTCGTAAGGGTAAGTACCACGACCTGACAGAAGACCGGCGTAAAGTGGAAGTATAATACTTTCGCGTTTCGTCTCGTGAGTGAGGTGGCCGGAGCCCAATTTTCAAAGTTTATTATGGGCGGTATTCACTTCATATCAGATAAACCGTTTGCTCGCTTTACAACTTTTCATATAAAAAAAAAGGAACCTAATTTTTAGTAGATGTGACAATGTACCCACAGTACAGTATATTGTATGTACAAAACAGTATATTGTATGGACTTGTTTAGCATCAATTTAAGAGAAGCGGCTAGATGGAAATTTATGTCTTCATGTAGAATCACCTGACTAATTGTGGTTCTGACAGCTAGTGGTGGTGATAATTTACTTTGTTTCTGACTGCAATACTTAGGAAATAAATGTAAAGAATTAATATCATCACCATCATAATTTCAGCCTGATTTAGAACACTGCGGGTCGGTCGGTTTTGCTGTTCAATAAAGTTTGTTATACTTTTTTACTTTACCGCTGACCATAGCCTGGGCGAGACTGAAGCATTAATGTATGGTAAATAAATTTAATAACGAATTTTGTGTGAAGTAGCCGAATACCTATTATTAAATTTATCACGCGGCTCGTGTTCAAACTTGTTAAACGTTGATAATGCCTATTTAACACGATCAGTCCGTTCCGCCCGAGTGCACATGTCGAAAACACCACCGCTGTCGGCGACTGTACCGCGCTGATACGCAGATTATCTTTAAGTTCCCATTATGCGGACGGCATGGGCTTTGCTCGTAATTGACAGGGATGTTTACCTCGCTTACGTAAAAAGCCCTGGTTATTTATCTATTACGACCGTCTGGCAAAAAATAAATTGCATTTTTGTAACATAACGCCGTACACAGAGACTCCAATTAGCGTTTTACCGTTCAATACATTAAGTCATATCAAGTTTTTAGGAATAAAACTTTAAGATAATATCTTATACTTTTAAACGAGCAATTCTTGTGTGTATATATATATATATATATACAATATATAATCGGAATCTCGGAAACGGCTAAAGCGATTATCAACAATTTTAGTATGTGCGATTCGGGGGCGAAAAATCGATCTGGCTAGGTTTCATTCTTAGAAAATGTTTTTATCCCAGTTTTCAGGGAATGAAAAATATCACTCGAATACGACGGTAAATTTCACCGAAAAAAAAAATGTTATGTTAAAGACCGTGGTTCGTGTTACGATCATTTACACACTTATTTTTTTTACTTGTTTTGCGTTTCCAGATCATTGCTTTCTTTATTTTTTATTTTTGTCGATCCAGATGATCTTGTTCTTTTTTCCCTTTTTTTAAAGTTCTTTCTTTTGTGAAAAACACCTTTTCATATTTTCTTATTATTACGTCGATAAGATCGAAAAATATTATGCATATTTCATTACTCAGTAATTTGTATCTAAATGTAATTTCCAAAATTCACGATTGTCCTTAAGGTACTATTATAGATTGCTAAAAATCTGAATTACATTAATGCTATCGATAAAAATTTGAAGTTATTGATGGTATTTTAATATAACTTTTGTTGAATTTTCGCATTGGTTGTAATCTCCTAAATTAGCAGTCATTATACGTTACTGAGATAAAGAGTTTATTTAGATTAGTTTTATTTAGGAGCAAAAAGGTTCTCCAGGTACTAAGATTTTATCTCTTTACAAAAGAAAATAAAACAAGGAAGACCACTCAGATTCGAAATATGTATTTGTGTAGTATGAATAAATTATAATCGTCTCTGTTGGGTATCAAACGCACGCCCCATCTCCCGGAAGTCTATCGCTTACCAATAGCATCAACCGAGCTAAGAGCTAGTGTGTTCGTATATATCTTTGCGTACACACAAATATTTATAAATTGAGATTAATGTTTGTATGTTTGTCTCAATTGTATTATTGTGATGAAACTGGTTGTTCACAACGGTTGTGAACTGGCTGGAATTGTTTTGCTGTCGTTCGCCAATGTGGCCCCAAAAAAGATTTTTTTTATGTTTGCCGTTAAGTTTAAAAAAATACACAGGTACGTGGGTAAAATGAAATTTACCCACGTGCTCATGTATTTATTCGTATCTTATTTGAATGGAACTCAAATTTCACACATAAAAATAAAATAAATAAATAAGCAAAGTAATTACTTATCACAAAAGATTATATTGCGCATTGAGGCGACATTAAAATTGAAAAATCTCCACAAAAGCAGCCATTGTACACCAGAAAATCCTTATGTTACGAAAAGGCCAAAAAGAAGTATGCAGAGCTGACTCCAAAGCTTTAGTAGTCGCAGAAGCAGATTTAGAAAAAGAATTTTTATATTTCACTGTGATAAAGTGACGAAATAGCTTTTAGTGTGGTATATCGTTTTGAG